GGGGGAGGGGGGGAGGGGAGACCGGCAGCGGGGAGGCGGGAGCAGCCCCTTCCCCTGCCGGGGGGGCTGGAGGGGCAGGGGGCAGAGCGCCATGCAGAGCAAGTCGCAGACTACCCTTTCGTCTGGTAACTTTGTTGGCACGTTACCTTTCTGTGCTAAAAGAGGAGTTTGCCTAACAGCACCCTCTGGTGAGTCCTGCGATGCAGCAAACTGAGGATCAGAAGGAGCAGCCTGCATCGCACGGCGCTGTCCCTCACCGCTGGGGCAACGAGGACGTGTAATCTATTCAGTACATCTATAAAAAACATATTTTTAACATCTTTATGATCAGGTGACTCTTCAGGGTATTCAGCAGCTCTCTGTTTCAGCAACATTTGTCAAAAATCATGAAAGAGCTTTGTAAGTTACAACTGCTGCACGCTAAAGGCTTAACCCAGTGTGAAAGCACCTTAACTACAGAATGCAACTGCAAATGTTTAAAGGATATTTATAGGAAAATAAAATTACACATAGCCAGTAAGAGACCTGTGGAAATAAAAGGCACTGCTTATAGAGAAAATCCAGTGAATTGGATGTGTACTTGGCCTCATGCACCGAAACACTCCAGGATAATGCTCTTGTAGAGGCTGCCTTTTGTTTTGTAATTGTTATAATTCTTAATTTTTTTGGTGTGACGCCTGCATGTGTGCACATCCCTTAAAAACTACCTAAGTTTCCCAAAAGGCTGAAAGATGAATCTTACATGCTGACAATGTAACCTAGTCAGTGCTTTATTTCTATATCATGCTTTTTCTTGTAGTTTGTATTGCACTGAAGAGATACTTAGCTACAGTCATTTTACATGCTATTTGCAGTGTTTTATGTGGGCCAGACCCACAATATGGGCTAATACTGCTGTTAGCTAGTTTTTCTTTGGCACAGTATTGTCTGCAACAGTACTTAGGTGGGAGTTGAGGCAGGGAGAAGTCCAAAAAGTAGTAAAGGCAGATGTGAAATTAAAAAAAAAAAATTCTTGGTTTGACATCTATATGTTTATAGGTTTCCACAGCCAATCAGGTGTAAGGAAGAGGTAGTGTTTGCATTGATTATAGTGAAGCAGCAGTTCTGAGTAGCTAAGGTAGAAGTACATTAATTCTTTGAGAAGCATTATTGGAGCTCTAAAAGCTGTGTAGCTCACAGTGTACTCAGTCCACATCTACTCCAGCCAAAAATTCCAGCATCTTCAGGTGCTGCCCAGACACTGCTGCGAGAGCAGAAAGGGAAGACTGAACTACTTTTCCCATGCTCCTCTGCCTGCAGATATTAGTAGCTATTTGAGTGCATGTTTTGAACTTTGTCTTCTAAAAAGGTATACTCTTTTTGTAGCTTTGAACGTACATATGAAGCTGGAACAGAAAAATAAGGTTGTTTATGAGCACTCTGTTGTACTTGTTATTTTGTAGTTCTCTCCTCAGACAGAAATATGGAAATATGACTGTGTCCTTTTTCCACATTCTGCTATTGGAAAAAAGTAGCATCTGGAAGTGAAAACAATATAGATTACTAACCAGAGGCATACAGTATTTTGACATGACAAGAGAATTTTAGCAACTTGATGAAAGAGATGCAGGATTTTTTTTTGTTGTTTGCTTATTTTATGGAAGTTGTGTTGGTTCATCCCTTTAGCTGTGTTTATTTGTACTCTGTAAGCCTGGCTGTTAGTTACACTTCTGTAATGTGAGTAGTGACCCAGCAGGCTAGGGTCATTCCCTGTCGTAGGGGAAACTTAGCATAACTCCACCTGAAAGGTCCACGTAAGTGATTGCATGGCATGATTGTGCAGTAGGTGGTCAAAAGGTCTAATGCAGATAATTTAAAGACCTATGTGCACAGCTCAGGCTGTATTGTGTTAGCAGTTACGGACAGGGGCTCTTTCTCTGCTTCTTTCCCATCTCTGCATTCTTCTTCCCTTCTTTGTACCAGCTCCAGCACTGGTCTGTGCTGTGCTGAGTTGTCTTGAGGCTAAAAAGCTAGCCTAATAAAAATAAGTGAATAACTTTCTTCCGGGCTAACGGACTGAAACAGCTTAGCAGAGTGTCTGCTAAGCATTAAGACCAGGCAAGGGAGGGGGTGGGATGGAAGCTGCATAGACTTAGCGGGGCACAGCTCTCATCCCGAGAGGTGCTTCTGCAGCCATGTATCATGGATATTTGTGCAGAGCTGATGAGAATGTGGCACCACTGGGGAAAAGGGCCTTGCCTCAGTGGGCAGCACAACCACAACAACTCGGCAATGACCATAGCCTTACAGATTAACGAATGGTATGGTTAAGCTAGAGAAAGGGAGCATTATAAGGTGAAGTAGAGAGCATAATAAAGCTTAGTAAAAAGCCTTTTTTTTTTTTTTTGATGAGTAGGTCCAAACTAGAGTGGATAAAAAGAGTATAGCATACAAACAACAGATGGTACTTTGGGAGAAAAAAGCCCTTATTTGCTTGAGTCTCCCTACAAAATAAGCCACTGAAGTTTAGTGGCTTATATTGACTCCTTTTTTGCTACTCAGCTCATATTTCTGTTTTTCTTGGCTTAGAAACAAAAGTTTAGTAACAAAATTGTGTCACGGTCATTTAAGATACTGAGAATATGTTTCTGTATGCCTTGATGTAATATTTAGGCAGCAGAAAGAGCTGAAACTGACCATTTCTACCATCTCTTTTATTTGACTGCTTCTTTCAGCTTCTGGGACTTGTGAACAGTGTTTTTCATGTTCATAAGGCTAGTGCTAAGAACTTAATGCATTTATTGTGTCAAATGGGTTTGTATCAATAGCCACTAAACTGCATAGTTTACTTTCAATAGAATTCAGAGTGTGTTAATATATTTACCTTTCATCGTAAGAAGAAAACTGTCTAAACACAGTTAGAAGGCAAATGCTTATACATACAAATCTCAAGTTGATCTTCATACATGAGAAATCTTACTTCCATTGTACTGTGCCTGTTAACTTACAGACTGCCTACAAGTGGAATCTGCAAAAGTCAGAGCACTAAGAGGTAGGTGCCCAAAACTGCAAGTAAAATGTTGTGAGGAATGCACGTGGCTTGCTTGATCTTTAGCTTCAAAGTACGATACAACTCCTCTTAGGGCTGGCATGCCTAAAATTCTCCGTGCAGGCTAATTCTAGCTCACAAGTAGGTAATTCCTTATATGCAAACTCAGAGCAGACAATTGTGGGGTATATGTGCTCCAGCCCAAAAACACGCTCCAGCAGCTTGTTCAGTAGAACATCCATGTCCAGATGGTGCTTCAGATTGCAAGTTTTTGCCCACCTTTTGCAATATTGAAAATATGGGTATGTGCACAGCCAGCAGTTCCCTGTCACTGCAGGGAACAGTTCTCACATTTGATGAGAGGATGATTTTTATTTCAGTAGCCACAGTTAATAATGTTTCTGTCAATTTCGTTTAAGGGTCAGACACCATTCAATTTTCAGATTGCAACTGAAATGCAGTGGAGAGATTCAGAACAAAATTATACTTGGCAGCATCCTCCAGAATTGAAGTTGAGGCTATTGTGTATTTTTTAGATTTTTTTTCCAACAGTTGAACAGCATCAACACAAAACTTCCTTCAGCATCAAACATTTGCTCCAAGCTTATTTCCAGTGTGATCTTGCTGTCATGAATCTCATTCATTCTGCTTCCAGCACCTCTGCAGATGATATTTTTCCAGTGCTACTAATTAAGGAACCAAGTAATGCCAAATACCTAAATACATATTTAAACAGAGGGCTTACTAATGCATGAATTCATATTGTGTAGGTTTTTAACCATTCTTATGCCATAGCAACAACTATTCATCAACAATTTCCTTTTCTTTTTCAGCCTTTTTTTATTGCTTTTCCTCAGAGACAATGGCAAGGCTTCGGATTACTAGTGCAATTGTTATACTTTTTGTTATGGCTCAGACTGGATTCTTACTCTTCATGTATGCCCGGTACAGCAGCTTCCTGCCTCAATCTGAGGAAAAGCCTTCTCAAGTCCACATCCTCATTCTCTCCTCCTGGAGGTCAGGATCGTCTTTTGTTGGTCAGCTTTTCAGCCAGCACCCCAGCGTCTTCTACCTGATGGAGCCTGCATGGCACGTGTGGGTTACGATGTACCAGAACAGCGCCAAAGTCTTGCACATGGCAGTGCGGGACTTAGTCAGGTCTGTCTTTCTGTGTGACATGTCTGTGTTTGATGCCTACATGCCTTGGAAAAGAAACTTATCCGATCTCTTCCAGTGGGCAGTGAGTCGGGCTCTGTGTTCAGCTCCTGCTTGTGACTCTTTTCAACGTACTGACATAACCAGTGAAATGGCATGCAAGACTCTCTGTGGCCGGTACCCGTTCAGCAAGGTGGAGGAAGCCTGTAAAACCTACAGCCACATTGTCATCAAGGAAGTCCGATTCTTTGATTTGAAGGTTCTCTACCCACTTCTTACTGATCCTTCTTTGAACCTCAAAATTATTCACTTGGTCCGTGACCCCAGGGCAGTTGTCAAGTCACGGGAACAATCGGTCAAAGCATTAACCCGTGACAATGGGATTGTTTTGAGTACCAATGGCACTAAAGTTGAAGACAGCAAATATAAAGTAATGCAAGAAATTTGTAGAAGTCATGTTCAGATTTATGAAACAGCTACTCTAAAACCCCCTAGTTTCCTTAAAGATCGCTATCTAATGATCCGTTTTGAAGATCTGGTAAGAGATCCTTTATCAGAAATCTCAGAAATGTATAAATTTGCAGAGCTTAGTTTGACGCCCACACTCAAAAGCTGGATCTATAATATCACACATGGACAGGGACCAGGAAAAAAAAAAGAAGCCTTCAAAATCACATCCCGAGATGCAGTTAATGTTTCCCAGGCCTGGAGGAATGTTCTTTCCTTCCAGAAAATTAAGAAAGTACAGGAAGTTTGCAAAGGTGCTATAAACATGCTTGGCTATCAGCTGGTGGATTCAGAAAAAGAACAAAGAGATCTATCAGTGGATTTGGTGTTGCCGAGACGACAAAATCAGTTCAGTTGGTCATCGTTTAATCCAAAGAACTAAGACATTACTCCAAGAGATGGGGGGTGGGGGGGTGGGCAGGAATATTTATAGTGCAATGTATAGGTAATTGAAGAAATCCTTGTGCACTGAATTTAATTTTTTTCTGTAACCTGTTTTTCATGCATTTTTTTCTGAGTTTCTTACACCGCAAAACAAAAAAAACCCACAAGAGAAATGAAGCAAGAAAGTTGTCGGACTACAGCCCAGTTGTGCTATTCTCAGCATTTTTTTAAGAATATAATTTAAATACTTTATTTTACGATATGAATTATCAGCGACATCTTTTCTTTCTGTTCATTGATACTAGTTCAATGCTGTTTTCATGCTTCAAATATTTAAGAACCTCTGTTCCTAATTTGTATTGGGGGACAAAGTAGAAACGTGCTTCCACCACTTCGAGACTCCCATGACTTTTCTTTTGAAGCGGTTTTGCAGTTGTGTGTTTCTTTAGTCCTGTCTCGATGTTTTTTTTTTTCAACGTAAAAGTTCTC